CCAATCATATTTATACTTTATTCAAGTATCCCTAAAACTTTCTAAAATGTCTCTAATGATAGGTCCGACCAAGTTAACCACCTTTCTAGAAGACTTTAGTAATAGGCTCTACCGTGATAACCACCTTAAGCCTTTTAAGAAGGTTCTATAGTGGATCCCATATGAACCACCATCCTAACTTCAATTCTAGAAACTTCTTAAAAATGACTCCAATTATATATTTCTATATACAAATAATACAAATATCCTATTCATGCTCTGCTACATGCTTCTTTCAATTGTACAACTTTTTAGCATAGACTCTTGACTTCTTTCATATGTATGAGAATAATATCTCTATAATTCATGTTAAAAATATGTGAGATTTCTACTCTTTAAATATTGATAAGTCCATGAAGATTTATAATAGTTACAAATCTATTCCCACTTTTGTTAAGAGTAGCATCTATAATCTTTTCTTCTATAGACAATTCAAACAAAACCAAAAAGTTAAATTAAAAGATGATAATCCACAACCTCTAATATCAAATGAAAATTTTTATAAAGAAAGATAATTCACTCTCTTTAATAAAAAAATTAGTGTTAAAAAACTAAACTATTCGTTTAAAGGTGGATAGTCTACAACCTTCAAAATATAATAATAGAAGTAAGATAATCTATTCACTTCTAAAAACAAGATAAGAATAATAAGTTAGCACTCTTGTCAAACTGTCAAAGATATGAATCTTGAAGAAAAAAATCCTTGATATATTCTTATATTACTCAAAAGAACTAAAAAATTACTCAAAGATTATATAGTATTAAACTAGAATAGTTATTATTAAAGAAAAAAAGATTAGAAAGTCTTAAAACAAGACTAACAACTAGAAAGGCATTGACAAGAGTGAAAAAGGCTTTGCTCTTACCTCTATATATACTATCTAATTAAGAGCTATGAAATTATGTTCTATAGGACCTCCAAAATATGTTAAATTTACAACATATGTATCTTAACTTATAAAGTAAATTTTTTATATGTGTACCATATAATTAGTTTGTTCTATAAGCTATCATACATGGATAACTTTTTGACCAAGTTTTTAACCTATCAATCAACTATAAACACATGTAAAGTCAAAGCAACTTCTATAAAGCCTCTAAAAAGCTTCTCTATAAAATATTATGAAATGAATCTACTTTTTACCTATTTCTATTTAATTATATAAGTAAATATTGTAAAAAATATGTATGTCTGTCATAGATAGTATATATAAAGGCAAGAATAAGACCTTCATCACTCTTATTAATACCTTTTATGTTTTTAGCCTAATTATAAGAATCTCTAGTCTTCTTATTTTTAATAATAGTTATTATAGTTTTAATATTATAACTTTCTTTAAATAAATATTTATTCTTTGTCAATAATATAAGAAAGTATTGATTTTATTATTATTTCTTGATTCATATCCTTGATAATTTAACAAAAAATATTAATTTCCTATTTTTTAAAATTTTAGAAGTGAATGGATTATTTTATTTTAAAATAAAATAAAAATAAAAATAAAAATAAATTATTAACTTTTAAACTAATATATTTTTTTAACATTATTTTTTTTCTTAGAAAAAATAAATTATCATTTTTTAAAAAAAAACTTATTTGATATTAAAAGTTATAAATTATTTTCTTTTAATTTGAGTCATAGATTTGATAAAGTTATATATTATGGATATGGATGGAAAAATTATGTATGCCACATTTAGTGGAAGTGAGAATAGATTTGCAACTGTTGAAAATCTCTATAAACTTATCAACAATCTTAAGATAGAAATTTTACATATTACCAATATCAACCATAAAAGTGTAATTTCTATCCCTACAAAAGATGTCAACAATAAAGTCCAATGCCAATGCCAAAAAGTTTTGCAATTAAGAGAAGCAAGTAGATCACTCTCACAAATGAATCAAAAAACTCTTGATATTATAAATATGAAAGGAGCAAAGATTAGTATACAAGAAAATTTTGGTGGAACAAGATCAAAATTTTAATGATATCTACAAGTAAATATTTACTTTAAGTTACATACTTAACAATATTTTGGTGAATATATTTAGTTTGGATTTATAAATGCATTCTTATATAGAAGTATTATTTCTTAGTTTGTACATTTGATAGAAAAGAATTTATGACTATTATATGATCTGAATTTGTTCTTAGAAATATTTATGGCCACATATTGTCAAAGTGATCACAAAAAGACAATAAAGACAAAATTCCTATTTTTATGATAAAAATCGTAATTAATTACTATCTATAGTATCAAATTCCAAAATCTTACTTACAACATAGATTAGAATTATAAATCTATTAATAATCAATTTTAATATAGATTAAAAATAATTTCAAAGATTTATTGTTTAAAATATCAAAAATAGACTTATTAGAATAATTTATTTCTCAATCCATTGCATGCAATAATAGACTTTTTTAAAAATGCTAAAAACAAAGACCTAATCAAAGAATAACAATCAAGTCATAATAATAATTTTTAAATTTTATAAACTTATTTATCAAAGCTAAGACATATGCACATTGATATAATATGTTTTAAATCTTTTATTTAGCAAAATAAAACTTAATCTTGTTAAGAAGAATTGTATTTATATTATAGAAAACTTAAGCATATTATTCAACATTGTCTAAAGAAGTAATGCAACCACAAAATGATGAGTACGGCTATAAAAAAAAAAAAAAAGAGCCAATATGTAAAAAATAATTTTGCTTAAGTACAATAGAGATACTTATATTTCAAAAAATAAAGTATAATTATATTTTTTTAAAGTATAATTGCCATGATTTTTTAATTACATGACATTTTGGATACAATAAGACATTAGAATTAATCTTACGAGATTTTTGATAGCCATAAACATGAAAGGCACCTAAAGACCTTATAAAATCGTATAATGTTTTTCCAATAGCAAAAACTCCTTCTCATTGAACTTATAGATTTCTTTAGCCAATACTTATACTAAAACAACTATGGTGATTTATTTTTGTAGATTTATTACTAATCTTTTAATATTAAGGTCTTATGATTTTATATTTTTAATAGTAGATTATTTAAGTAAAATAGTATATTTTTTATTATATATAAAACTATTGAAAGAAAAAAAATAATTAATTTTTTTTTCATAATATCTATTGTTATCATAGATTGCCAAGAAATATCATATATTTTCTCATTTTTTTTTCTTTTTGTCATCTTTCTTTAAGACATACCTCACATATTTGATTACATTCTTCAACTTCTTGTTTTTTTCATTTCTACTAGTTTTGGCATTGTCATCAAGTTTGTTACATGTCGCATTAGACAACTTCTCTCTTGTACAAATTAATATCTAACTTTTAGAATAGTAGTCCATAGAAATTGTTTACTTGGCAATAAGATACTTTTATAGTAATTCTTCTATGAAGATTTAAATGTTTTTATAAGACTTGATTTATGTTAAGAAAAATAATTAATAGACAATTTGAATATGGAAGAATAAGTTTGTCTTTAAACTTGAAATATAGAATATACTCCATGCTAGTGACACAATTTAGCATGGTATAATCAAATATACATAAATTTGTTGGAAATTTAAATTTAAAAACAATAAATTAAACATCCATAATATGAGTCTTTTTTACCTAATATATAGAATAAAACTAGGAAGTCTAATCAAATACTTGGTTCTAGATGTGACAGAATAATTAAATGGTAATGCAGAATAGCTCAGTATAGTAGGATCATATGCAAAAGTATAGATGAGCTTGCCTTAATAATTGATCCACATTTTTAGTACTCTTAGTTTTGTCTTTGGATATAAGGAATTAATTAGTTTGTTGTAATTCTTTTTCATGCCATTCACACATTGAGTATACATCATTTTTGTGTTTGAAAAAAAAATGCAATAATTATAAATATTAAAAAAAATAAAAAATAATAATATTCTTTTTAAGGTCCTCATATTTAATTAATATCATTTTCTATTATTAGTTTTAATAAAAAAATATATAAAGAAGTTATACTTTTTATTATTATTATGTGATTGTTTTATTTTAAATTAAAAAATTAATCGTCTTTTGATAGTTTTTTTGTAATTACTAGTCATTTTGGTTTACTATTTTATTTAGAAAGTAAAAATAAATCAAATCTTGTACAAAATTTAATCAAGCATTATTAAGATTCTATAGCAAGGATTTGAATTGCTATCTATAAAGTTGTTAGTTTACAATCATTGCACATTCAACTTTGCCATTGTTTTGAAGTTTAAGATCATTTTTGACCAAATCAAAAAAAGTTTTTATAATTTAGAAAATACACCAAAATATATATTTTTAAAACAATCTAAATATAGTATATATTTAATATCTCCATTTCAAAATATCAAATGTAATAATGAACTAAATATAATTGTTTCTACATATATTTCACAATATATTTATATAAGCTTATGATAAAGATGTGTATGTATGTGTGCTTATATATATATATATATATATATATATATACCAAAGTTACTATTGTGATATTTAATTGAAGAAACTTGAAAGAGTGGTCTAGATTAAAATTTTCTACAAATGTCGTTTCAATTTTTAGTATATTGGCATATATCTCATATGGATAAATGTTGGTAAGAATTGTAAAGATTTGGTATTTTTATACAAATGAATTGAAAAAGCATGGGTTCATTATTAGAAAGAATTAGTCCTATTGGTTTTTTTTGATATGTATACAGAAGTGTTATGGTTGATATTTTTCTGCACAGCATTAGAATATCAATGTATTGAAAGAGCAAGTTATCAGTTCATGTGGATTAGGCTCTCAATGTCACATATCAGTATGTCTAAATAGAACACGGCCGATGACAGAGATCCCGTTCTACGGTGACAAGCAGCCAACTGATTCGCGTAGGTCAGTGAGGTAAACCACACAACCGTCAAGGAAGTCACAAATGAGAAACTCGGGCTCCGACATTGTCATGCATACGGTGAGTTACGACTTTATTCCAAGCAATGGCATGAGGTTTCAGGCATAGTTATCGAATACACAGCAGATGCGCATCGATACAGATTGGCACAACAGAATCGAGCCACTTTATTGGAACGTAATTGAGTCACCTAACCTAAATCGTGTAAGCAACGCGTTTGTCTTCAGGGCAAGCGCGCCACGGAACACACACATCAACATCGTAGTCTACAGTCCAAGAACGCTTCTGCACGATCCCTTAGAGAACCTGAGACGAGCAATCCTTACTACCACACAGAGAAGTCAGCGAATTGTCTAAGACACGGTGACGACACCCTTCATGCCAGCACCCTGGTGAGGCTCGCAGTAGAACTCGTAGGTGCCGGGGGTCTTGAAGGTGATGGAGAAGCTCTCATTAGGCCCGTTCAAGTAATCCTCGTGGTTAATGTCCTCAGTCTTGACACCGGCGGGGACTGCGTCTTCATCGAACACGACATTGTGGGGGAATCCCTTGTTGTTGACGAAAGTGACAGACTCACCAGCGGCAACGGAGATATCCTTGGGGTAGAACCCGAGGGCACCGTCGTCACCTCCCATCTTCACGGTGGCGGCATTGGCGGAGGCCACGAGCAGCAAGGAGCTGGAGGCGGCAAGGAGGGCCTTCCCGACGGTCTTCAAGGCATCGCTGCTGGCCGAGGCACGGACGACGGGGGCCATGCGCACCACGGAGGTGGAGGACAACCTAGCGGGGGCGGCCTTGGTCTCGGCCTTGAGGCCAGAAAAGGAGGGCACGGAGACAGCAGCAGCTGCGACGGACGCCATGGAAGCAGAGGTGCGATGACAAACGAGGCAACACTCACTATCCACGATGGAGGAAAATACGCAGTCGGGCAGAGAGTGAGCGAGGGGGTTGTTTTATAAAGGAAGGAGTCGCCATAGCCATAGCTGTGGCCATGGAGCCTGCTCGCAGACACGCAGCAAGGGCGTGAGCCACAGAGGCCGTCCAAGTGGAGCCTTCCATTGGACAGATTCAGATAAGCCAGTGGGAGGCTGAGGACGCACCAGGGCCGCCCGATCGGACCCGTCATCCGACGCTCCCCAGACTCTCTTTCTCTCCCCGTAGAATTCTAAGATGTGTTGCGTTTGGATGGAATTCATGATTTTTCTTTTTATTTTCTTTAATTTTCTCACAGTAGTGCTAGAGATATGAACTTTTGGATCTGTATTTTTCATTATTATAAAAAACTATTATCATTATTATTATAAATTATATTTTTAAAAACCATATAATTAAATGTTATAAAAAAAACTTATAATTCTGTAGGTGCTATATATGTAGAAGGAAGACAAAAACAAATCTATTTAATCTCCTCACCTCTTACTTTGAATCTAATTTTTTTTGTAATTTTTAAATCTTTTGTTTCCTCTCCATAACTATTTAGAAATATTATCGAGTTTAATATGAATTCTAGCTTTATTACTACTTCTTTATTCTTTTGCATAAGATTTAAACGTTTACACTGATATATCACTACTTCATAAGACCAATTGCAGATAATACAACTATTTTATTTATATACAAATTGTGGTCTTTTTTCTTTGTACAAAAGATAATTCAATATTTTAAATATAAAAAGCTACAAAAAATTTAAATTGTATTAAATATTAATCTTTTGTATAGTATCACATTTTTGGATAATCTTGCCATGACTAAATAAATATAAATAAACAAAACTCTTGTAGTGTTATCATAAGACTAAACAATGAAGTTTGTAGATCCAATGTAAAATAATTAAATCCATACTAACATTCATAAACATATAAAAAGACACATTCATCCTAAATGGTACATGAATGATACGAATTTTATCACCACTTGTTTAAATGTAAGATGAATTTTCTACAGAAAAAATTATAATCAAACTTTCAAGCCATTAAAAGAACCACAAGTTATTGATATAAAATCTTTAACAGAATAGTCTCTTGTTTGAGGATATATAGTAATCAATTTGAGTTTTCATATTAAGATTCTACTTTAAAGTTATATAATTTTAGCATATTATATAGGATATCTTAAATTTTTAGTTTAAATGTTTAAAACCTAAAAAAAATTCTATTTTAAAACTAAAAAAACATACACTATTAATTTTTTAAATGCAAATCAGCAGAATTTAAATGTACAGTCACAATACAAATTTATTTAAAAGAAAGAAAATTATGAATGTAAAAATTAACATAGCATAATCTAATTCACACACACACACACACACACATATATATATATATATATATATACATATACATACATAGATTAAAAAATTAAAAAACTAAAACTCATGGTTGATTTTAGATTATATTGTTGTTTGAAAATATTTTACTTTGGTCATCTAATTTAATAAATTTAGCTTAAAATATTTATATTGAAAAAAATACATATATATCAAAAGTATAGTTATCAAAAAAATAAAATTCTACTACTTGTTGGTCATTTATTACGAAATGATAGTTCTTTGAATATAAGCAAAATATATAATATATATCAACCAATCTATTATAAAAATTTAAAGATTACATAATATAATTTTAGATTTATATATGAATATATAAAAAAATATTAGATTATTTAATTTAAAAAACAAAAAAAACAAAACAAATATTTACAATCAAAAGATATATATATATAATAAAAATAAAAAAATAAAATTTATATTTTTAAAATTTTAATAATAAGATGCTAAAAGATCGTGGATAAGTTAAAGTTAAGTTTAAAAAAAAAATGTGTGTTGAAAGCCATCCCTTCATTTAAGATACCAATTTTTTTTATCTTTAAACAATGAACCTAAAGGCTATCTTAGAAAAGGTATCTAATTAGTATCTATAACCAGATGAGCATAAAATCTAAATGGCTCCTTGTACCAAATCATTTCTATAAATCCTAAACTCTTAAATCTTTTTTTTTTTTTTTTTTTAAATCCCAAATTGTTAATTGTATATCCTTCTTACCAATAGTTTTGAGGCTCTTAACAATTGGTTGCCCATGCATAAGCTGCTCATTGAGTTTCATGTAACTATCTAACATCTATATTTGTACATACGCATGGATGATGGATGGATAATATAAAAAGGTTATAGTGTGAGTTGAGTACATGTTTTACAAAATTGGCATCTAAGTAGCTTAACTTTCTTATAATGTGTGTGTAATAAAAAAATCAAGAAAATAGCAGCTTTTTTTTAGTATTTTTAAGAATAGTTTTCAAATACAAGGCTATACAATGTAATTAAGTTTCTTGCAATTTAGTCATGCAATTTTTTGTTTCAAGTTCAACAAAGAATAAAAAATAAAAATAAAAATAAATTTCATTTAAAATTTTCTTTTTATTAATTTTTTAAATTCCAAAATAAATTATTTATTCAAAATAGCTTGCTAATTTATACACATAAGAATACAAGGTAAAAAAAATCAAAATCACTTAGAAGCTTTTAAAAATAAATATAATTATTATAAAAAATATAAAAAATAATTTAATAAAAAATATGCTATAAAATAATTAAATAGAAAAACATGATTATGTATTGCTTATTCTTTTTCAAAAAGTTATTCTACACTAGAGCATATTTCCTTTGACTCTGTTGAAAAATACTTATTAAACATAGTGCAAATTAGACACAATTTATCAAAAACATTAAAGTATATATATATCAAACACAATATTGAAGTTCAGTTTAAAACTCGAATGTCGATATTTTAAAACTATCAACATAGAATCGAAAAAGCATTAGTTTTAAAAAATATGACTTTATAATTTATAATTTTATTCTTTATTCTTATTTATTTCAAGACAAAAAAGATTTCGTTTTTCATTTTTTTAATGTTTGAGCAGTAATGTTTGTGAAATTTAAATTGTTTTTATATTTTAAAAAAAAGACTTGGTTTTTTATTTTTTATTTTTTAAATTAATACTCACTTCCACTTTGTGAAATAATATACTGTTCATTTGATGTTGTTAGTTTTCTAAATACTAAAAGTGCAGTCTAGAACAACTATAATTTTCAATTTTCTTAGAGAAACGTATAACTTCCAAAATCCGATCAAATTTTGATATGTATATATCATTATTATTCGTGTTAATATACATGTTTGCATGAATACTGTGAATCAGATCATGAAACTAATTTGAAAAAAAAACATAAAATAAAAATTTATTCTCTGCATTCGTAATAAAAGTTTCAGAAAAAGCTTGAGGATAATTCTCTTACAATCCTTGAATTATTGTGGGTTGCATGCTCAATTCAATATTTACTTTTATTAGTCTTAATTAGTCCATAATAAACTTACGTGAAGAGGAGGAGCTTGACAATCTTGGAGTTTTTTTTAAACGAAAACGAAAAAGTAAAAGAAAAGGAGATCCTGAAAAGATGTAAAACAGAAAGAAACCAATCACGAAAAAGATGCGATATCGGAAAGAAGAATCATGGAAAGATGCGGTCGAGGAAAGAGGGAGTGGGGAAAGATGCTTGTGGCGGAAAGAAAAGGGAACCAAGTCGAGGATGGGGGAATCCCGAAAGGAGAGGATGCCGGGCTGCCCGGTGGGAGGAGGATGAAAAGGCGCGGGGGGGGGGAGTGTGCAGGGGGGAAAGGATAAAGACAGCAAGGAAACGGAAAGACAAAATGCGCGGAGTGGGTGGGTGCGCATCCCCCCCCCTTCTTCCTCCCCTTCTCTCCCCTGCCCCACGCTGGATGCCTGTGTCTCTCTGGGTGTATGTGCTTGTGTGTGTCTCTCAAGCCATGAATGAGACGATGAGTTGCGGGGTCGCCATCGTTCCTTCGCATAAATCTACACTACAGCTTGCGCATTACAGCTTTATTGCGTCTCCGCTGCTTCTCTTCAATAGGACGGACTGCTGCCCGCAGAGCTATGAAGCGTGGGGGCCTTCTCTATATCGTGCTCTTTCTCTCGCCACCTTGGCTGCTTAGAATTGCGGGAGTTCCATGCAGTGTGAAAGACAGCTAGCAGCTGGTGCTCTGACACGCTATTGGGATTAGTTAGTGCTCCCCTCTTCCTTTGCTTGGATCCTGCGTTGTGATCGTGGCGTTGTTTGCGACTCACTCTTTGATCGTGCTCCCGTACTTTCGCGGTCGCTGTAGTAGTGTGTTCAACAGGTTTTAAATGATTGCTATTTTTTCCCGCTGGTCCGCGGGAGGTTCAAGACAGGCTCCTAGTTGGTTTCTGTTCACGGCAGGGGGCGGGGATTCGATTCGCGAACACTAGGCCTGTAGTGAGAAAGTGAGTGAGGTTGCGTGACTTGTGGGATGTTTGATGCGCTTGAGGGAGCATGTGTGGAGGTCAGTGTGCTAGCTTTGACGATAATTTATTACTCGAAGGATATTCTGGTGGTTCTTTTGGATCGCGGTGTAGCGTGGAGGTGTTTTTCAGCGTGTTTTATTCCTGCCTACGCGAACTTCCGAGAGGACACGAAGAGTTGTAGAAGGAGTAGTACTTAGAATGCGAGTAGCGTTTTGAGGGGGTTCTCAGGTAGTGTTTCTGGTTCTGGTTTTCTCCTTCAAATCCTAGGCTGTGCAACGTCTGGTGTTTCTTGGCGGAGTCAGGTTGAAGCTTTGACTTGTTTAAGTGTAATGAACTTTTATGTTCAGCATTAATACGCCAGTTTGTGTGTCACAAGGGCTCCTACACATCACATTCCTTTCCTCAGGCGAGCGAAGACTTGTTATTTGATTTTTCCCTTAATTCAATCTATGTAGGCGGAGTTCAAAATTTAGGTTGAATGGTCTGCGTCTGAGCTGTCACAGGAGGTTCTGTCGAATTTGGCGCTGGAATGTCCATTGGAGTCTTCTCCACATTCTTTCACCTCTCACGATTTCGCGAGCTCCCATCTCTTATATCCCTAGCCGTGAGTCTGGAAGGCAGTGCTGCCATATTTATCGCAGAGAATCCTACAGAGGTGACGGCATTCTAAGCTATACCTCACTCCGCGACTGTGGTATATCACGTGATCGCATTTTCTTTTGCATACGCGCCTAATTACTGTCAGAAAAAGAGAAGCACCGGAGATTCTTGCACCGAATCATTTTTCAATTGTCCTTGGGAAAAGTGGGTAAGGGTGGTGCAGCCAGAAAGTTATCTTTTTATTGGCGAAACTCCGGAAGAGAGCACGTCAGGCTTGAAAATGCTGCCAAGTGAAAAGCACCTTGTCATGGTACAGGAGAGAATGCTATCGTAATAGTGAAATCCATTTAACTCTGGGGAGTCACTCCAGCAACAATTTGGTGTTAGATATCCCTCAGGCCTTGAACGGAGTTTCTGTACTCCAAGTTCAGGTAAGCACACATCATCCAAGATTAGTTCTGACGTACTGCTGCTGGCATGTGTAATCGTCATGCTACCGGCGTAATGTTTATAAAATATTCTCCGATCCTCTCCTGGATTAGTTCTCTTGTGGCAATTTCCGCAAAGGCTGCATTGCAAGTGTCCGAAAGCCTCTCAAAGGTCATTAGTGGTAGGATGGTCTCTATTGAAGTTCAGGCGCACTCTGTTCTACTTTTACATAGATTTCCCAATCATCTTACCTTGTTGCTCTTTTAACATCCTGAAAATACTCTTTTGCTAGCCTACGCACTAGTGTGAACTGCTCTGTTGTTACAAATTGTTTCGATGGAATTAAGTGCTGGGCTTGAGCTGAGTTTCTCTTCAAGGCTTTTATTATCAAGTGACTTCTAAGCTGGTATCATTCGGACTAAAAGCTTGTCAATGTCGAGAATGTCATATGGTCGGATTTAGAATTTTCTGCATTTTTAATCATGGTTTTGTTTGTGTCAAGTTTCTGCAGATTTTGAAAGCATAGTGCTTGCTTAAAGCAACCTAAGCCAATGCAAGACAGGCAAGCTGAGGTTGGTCGTAGAAACCTCTGAGATATTCTCAACACTCATTTTCTTTTGTAAGAGGACAGTGATGGCATTAGATAATGGAAAGACGAGAACTGTTGTACTTGCGACAAGACGATGTGCTCGAGCAATGTTTAATCTCTAGAACGGTGAAGGCTGTTGGTTGTGAATGCCGAATTCTGTTTCGACATTTCTTGAAACGCGCACTTGGTTCTGAATTTTGAATCGAGTATCTTGTACAAAAGCGTTGATTGAAGTAGGGGTAAACTAGTCGTTCTACTCACAGATTTGGTGTGGTGCTTGCCGAGGTTTATTTAGTAATCCAGTAGCTCTGTAAAGCCTTCTCGCGGTCCTTGCAGTATTGGCCCCGGCAACTGTTGAAGAAGTGGATAAGCTTTGGAGAGACTGGAGATGACTTCGATCGAGACATTGACTCTAACGCTGATGAGTCCAGTGAGTCAGAAGACTTTGGAGCTAGCGATGGTAAGTATTTCGAATAGTGCTTCTGTCATCCTCTTTTTATAACCAGAGCGATCAGTGTGAACGTTAACCTGTTAGTATATGTTGTGCATTGTCAGGCGCTGGAGGGTCTGGTGATGAGGGTACAAGGATGCTGGCCGATTCAGAACCAGACTCAGATGCGACACCATTTGCAGGTCAATTTCAATGATATAGCTGTCTACATGTGAAGAATTCGTAGCTGATTACGTAATTGAGTTAGATCAGCAGATGTTGTAGTATTTCTTCAGTTTCAGGAGAGAAATGTGGCAGGTGCATCATGTAGCATGGGAGTTGGAATCACGTGTTTTTGTTTAGATTCTTCAGTTGATGTTTTAGCTTGTCAATTTGGTCTCAGATTTATCACACAAGAACCCGCTTCCGCGAGTGCAGTCAGAGACTCTGAGAAAGCAATTCGTTGTTAACAATGAATATAAGTAAGTTTCTTTTGCACTTTCTTGGTAACCTAGCTGACTTCCTGGATTTTGGTAGTCTTTGGGTATCAATTCGAGTGGTTTATTTGTTGATTATGTTGCTTCCCACTGTTTTTGTTTTTCTTTCTGATATTCTAATTATTATAATCGACTGCTTGTGATCTAGGATTGCTCAGTACTCCCTTCGACACGCATTGACGTTTCTGTAATGACGCAGAATTTCAGTTGGTACCTGGAATGTTGGAGGGTTACTTCCTCCAGACGATATCAACTTAGATGGGTTTTTAGACTGTCCAAATCCTGCAGACATCTATGTTCTTGGGTGAGTATTCCTTGTTGCATTGCTGAAGGTGGTTCAGATGGTGCTTCTCCTATTCGCATGCAGAGGGAGAAGCTCCAAGGTATCAGCAAAGCGATGATACAAATATGCGCATCTATGATAGTTTTTGCAGTCAATCTTTAATGGTGCTTATCAGTAACTGGGGTAGAGGATTCTGCAGGTTTCAGGAGGTTGTGCCACTTAGTACCAACAATGTGCTATGTGTGGAAGATGACGCGCCTACCGTCATATGGGATGGCTTGATTCGGCAGGCTCTCAATAACAGGGTGAAGTGTTGCGAAAGACCTCATAGAAGTTATAGTGAACCTGCGTCTCCAATGTGGAATGAGAATGAGGCTATAAGTGACGTTCCTGAAATCTCTGAACACGCTGGCTTAGTCTTCACGGCGGATCCTATCGAATCATCCTTACTTCCTCAGAAAATTCTAAATTCAAGCGATAGCCAATGGCTTCTGGGAAAAATAAGATCAAGTAGCATGAATCGGACCGTGAAGAGTTTGACTGAGCATGTTAAAGTGGCAGAGGATTGGCTCTGTGAGACATCGATGCCTGGAGATAACGTTACTGAAGAATCTCTGCCTTTTAACTCTTCTCGAACCCTCATCGAACATTCTTGTAACCGGTATTCTCGGCTTGCGAGTAAGCAGATGGTTGGGGTTTTCATATCTGTATGGATACGGTCAGACCTACGACGATATGTCAACAATGTAAAAGTTAGCGTTGTTGGTTGTGGAATTCTGAATTTTCTCAGAAACAAGGTATGTATTGATCTCTAATTTCAGTTCTGAGATGTATACTAAAGAATTATCGTGACATATGATCCTGCTTCAATTCTATTCCGATCATGTTATGCACCTTGTAACCACCATTCAATTATCGATAACCACATCTAGGATTGAATCCTTTGTCTTGTCCAGCATCTTTTTAGGGGTTTGACTACTAGAGATTACTGTGCAGGGTGCTGTTTCTGTCAGTTTTTGTCTACACCAAACTAGCTTCTGCTTTGTATGTACACATTTGACATCTGGTCACAATGATGGTGATGAGTTTCGTCGGAATGCTGATGTTGATTACGTTCTTCGTCGCACCACTTTTCCTAGATTGGAAAAATCTTTAGGAGTGCAGTTACCAGAGACAATTTTGGCACATGAGTAAGTATCATGTTGATTCTGCCACTTGTTTCTTCCAAATTCTGCAGCAATGTTCGTAGTAAGTGAAATTAATCAGCAGATATGAGTTATATTTTTAATGATTACAGGTCGCGCATCTCTGCACAGTGCCTTGTACTGAACTGCTCGTTCTGAATATTTTATCTGAATGTGGATGACGATTTATTCAATAGACCAAGTTTTGGCCTAGAAGGTTAACTTGTCTAATCCTGCGACTTGTTGTTTGTTGGAACAATGACGTGCAGCCGAATCATATGGTTGGGAGATTTAAACTATCGGATCGATCTACCGGATATGGAAACATGGGCCCTTGTCAATCAATGTGATTGGAAGAGTCTTCTGGCTAGAGACCAGGTATAGTTTTTGACATTTTAGGTGGTTTGCAATTTAAAGTGGATACAAGGCTGTTTCTTTCAGTACCTACCCAATATCACTGTTAATTTAGGCACAATGATTAACTGAAAAGTGTCGCAGATGATTTTTTTGGAAAATTTCCTATTAGCTTAATCTTACTCATTTCTGATACCCAGATTGTTGTTCACATAGTTGAAAATGGAGAGAAATGCTGGGCGGGTTTTTAAGGGCTGGCATGAAGATGTCATCACTTTTCCTCCAACGTATAAGTTTGTGGTGGAATCTGACCAGTACTTTGGTGAAGATACATTCAAAGGGGATAAGCGACGTACACCTGCATGGTAATGGAAGCCTTCATTTACTGCCAGTAAAAAGCGCTACTAATATGGGGTAGGACTCTCAGTTGTCAATCGTCAGTGCAGTAAACAGAGCCATCGGATCATATGTATTGATTCTGTAGTTTTGGTCTGGATTATTATGTTTATGGTTTATTTTGAACCGCATTCTTAATAGATACATGCTTTAAATATAGAGGCTTGTTATTTGAAAATTTTCACAAGTTTTATTTATAGACTTAATTGGTTTTAGGCTGTGAGTTTGAACCATATCTAAAATGCGTCCAAACCATCATAATTTGTTATTACGTAGAGACATCATACATTTTGTTTTTCCTCATAGGAGGTTTATATGTTTGCAGGTGTGACCGAATATTATCATATGGTCAAGGCTTGACACAGTTGAGTTACTCAATGATTGAAGCAGGGCTTTCAGACCATCGACCAGTTATTGCAAAGTTTATCGCGGGAGTGGAAGCAGTAAGCTGCCGAAAGCTAAGAAAAGCTTGTAGGCATTCGAATGATGCAAAAGTAAATGTTGAAGAGCTCTTGCCTAGAACTTTCCCAGCCAGCAGGTTTCACAGCTCTCAAAACCATGAGGTATTCAGATGAAGTTCTTTTTGACTTCTTGGTCGCATGGTGAATGTTTTGCAGAGATTACAATATCCATGAAGAGTTAAATTCTGGCTGATATAGCAGTTCCAGAGGTTGCTCATGCTTTTGGCAAAGTCTGCCAATTTCATAACAATCAGTTGGTTGATTATAACAACTCATCCCATTTTTCGGCGAAAGCTTGCAGATAGTGTTGTTTGATATCACTAGGTAGTGGACATCAATGATCATCAACATCACCCTCCGAAGTATATCCCAGCCTTGTATGTCAGTCGTTTCTCGATCGCTGACTCTTTGACGGCCAATTTTTTCGGTGAGCCTCATCTCAACCCCTGTAGACATTTTTTGACTTCCATCCTTAGTCCCTAGGATGACAGCAAACAGATCGCATGCCCAATGTATATTCGTTGTAAACCGGCAGGATATATTCGCATGTTGTGTTTCAACCATGATGAACCCCAGTAACAAAACTATATCGGGCATTGAATAAGTCAACCTTATGGCGATGATTTCACACTTAAACAATATGCAACATTGTAACTTTTGGATTTTATTCGTGTGCAGCACATTTTGTGAAACAAGCCGGATCGTTACAAATATTTGCTAGTGCAATACCATGCTGGACTAACAACCTTGGGAGGTTACGATGTCGTCGCATGTTTGGATTGGCTGGGTTATTCATCAAGTAACCAGTGGATGTTAAAACGACGTCCAGTCATTATTTAAGGTTTGATCTAACACTTTAATGAGCCTGTAATTATTAACAGCTCATGTGCTGTGGATTTCGATGTATGCATGTGTTGATCACATGCTCTGAATCCAATTTTAAATTCTATTTTTATTGATAAATGCCATTAATTTTTCCAAATGCTCTTATGAACTTTCAAAATGTGAGTTGAGTGTTTCAGGATAGGTTCATTCCTTGTCCAGCCGGAGAATGATGAAATCTGTTTATACTAATTTTGTGGATGCAGGGTGCCATGTCATGAGCTCAAGGTATCTATTGAACTCGTGTACCCAGCTGGGTTCGAGTAATTTTGGGAAATGGAGCTTGTACTATACATGACTAGTCCCATAGAGTTCATAATACTTATTATGATCTATGTGATCTACTTGTAGCATAGATTCATTTAGATTATCATACTTCTCATTACTATCTATTATAGTGTTCACCAAGGAGCTCACTTACCAGAAAAGTGGGGTCTCTCCTCCAGTTATTAGCTCAACTTATTTTCCAGTAACACAGACAGTAGCAACGACCACCTTTGAACTCTTGAACAGGTGATAGCTTGATCATCTATATTCATGTGCATTTTTGGTAGTCATAGCCTTCTTTGTTTCAAGGTAGGCCGTACTACCCGAATGAAAGAAACAGTTGCATGTCCAAGTCGCACATCGCTTTGGTGAATCTTCAATCCAGGCTTTGACCAAAGTGATGAGCCATTTCGACATGGTCTCATTTTCTACCGTGGTTGACAATTTTACATTTTGAACACCACAAATCTCACATTTTCTCTTCGTGTCGCTGAAAGTGAACTTCGTGATATACGATAGTTTAGTTTAGTCACACTACTATTCATTTTGAAAAATTGCAAAATAAACCGAAGGTTGAGATGACCCCAATCACCTTCGACAGAGATCATGAACGATATCCGTGCTGACGTCTGACCACGTGAAGTGACACAATCATACAACAGTTGCAACCACCCGGAACAAGGAATCGCATGAGTTATTACATAGTGCCGAAGCTGAAGGTTCTGGTATCATCAGTCAAGTTTATCACTCATGGTTGTTGCTACAGCACGAGAAATAGAACAACGCCTCAATAATCTGCGGACTTGTCACCTCACTAGTGGTTCAAAAACTTCATATGCTACAATCATGAAAACAGAATTTCGGAAAATCATGTCGAGCCGCTAACTACTGATATCAACATCTACTAAATGTGATAGAACTTGAGGTGGGAAGGGCAAGGATCCCACATAAGTTAGAGAATCCGGGATAATAACTGCGATTTAAGCTTACGGCAAGTGGAAGTTGTTATACATCATTAACAAGTGCAACAGGGGAGGCAGACAGACGGTTATATCCCCCACTTTTGGCTCACTTCAACTAATCCCCACCAAACAACTTGGCAGGGCATGTAACCTCTTCGTTTGTTAATTGTGAAAGTAACTTTTCTTTTGCACGAATCTTCCCTTGACAGGCAGAGCTATGTGAATACTTTTAATCAACCCAACGGCAGAAAAGGAATCTGAGAATAGCATCCCCTTCAAGTTTGAAGAGGACGTCCTTCACTTAGCTGCCTAGCCTGGCTAAATACCAACACAAGCAAGTGTAACAGATGTACATCAGCGCACACAACAAGCACCATGAATTTTGTCAAAAGACTTGTCCCATTAAGAAGCGAGGGTGTGCATCCAGGCCACTTAAATTTTGCAGCTTCATTCCAACGCTTACTAGACTATTCAATAATTAATGACAGATTAGCTTCGCGATCCATAGGAAATATCTCACGACAGAGCCTCAATCACATTGGAAAACATTCATTTCGCAGTCTACCGAGTAGAAGATTGCTGTAAGATTCACCGTTTCTGAAATCAAGCCACTCCAAATTTGAGATGGACTTGGAAGTTTTCCAGTAGGTTGATCTCTCCGCAATATTTTTAGATGGATGCTTCCCTTCGGAATGCTCTTTTCTAAGTGTTGTTGCTGTCTGCTCAGCTTCTCTGAACACTCTCTGCAGATCCAACCAACAACGAGATAGAAAACGTCAAGTTCTGAGGGACATTGGCAAAATAATCAACAGTCCCAAATACCAACAGGATTATGATTCCCGGCAATTGGAAAAGTCGTGAAAAATTTTACCTCCTTATCCCGAAGCATAAGCCCAGGCTCGAACTCCAGAAGAGCAGTGCTGTAGTCACCACGAAACCATGTTAAAGGCTCAACATCTCATAATTTTTGAACAAACTATAGATCACATGGATATAGTTTAAAAACTCGCGAGTTGTCCTCAGAGGCGAATTCAGATCTGACCATGCTACGTTTCAGGTACTAGAAGACGAATTTCGAAGGTCAAGCACACTAAAATGATTAGAGTCCGCAAACCTGAAAGATAGCTTTCCAGGAGTAGGACACTCGACTGCTATCATTTTAACTTGATCCCCAACTTTGAGCACGTTAGAAACTCGATTAATCCGAGCAGTTGACATGTTACTTATATGTATTATTCCACTGCATACAATCGAGCAGTGGACATCAAAATCAGACGTTCTTGATAGTGCATTACATAAGCAAAAACTGCTAATATCAATCTGTTTCCTTGACACCTATATTGATCATTTGACAGGGGAAACTTTCAGTTGTTGATGTGCATTCTTCCTTCGAAGTCAACAGAAGCACTCACAAGTACTCAGCTTGTAGAAGAATATCAAAACATCAATAGAGCTCATACCCTATGTTCGTCCGGTTGATCTGGACATAAGCGCCATAGTTGACAATTTTTGTTACAGTGCCATCATGAAGAGACCCAAGTTTAAGATTCCGTTGAATCTGCACTCAAAGAGATAATCAGCGCCAAATGAACCGAAAGCAGAAATTTCTCACCAGTGCTAGATGAATAGAAGCCTACTGGTTGTTTCAAATTACAGAACTTGTCAATATCTCGATCCAGCTAAAAAGGGCCAAGAGCTAATACCAACGCCAAAACAGCATGCGTCCACACCAGACTAGTTAAGCTCTAGTAACAAGGTGTTAAAATCAACAATTTTGTTGGCGATTGTGATAAAACGATTAGAGGTTGATTGGGCCCACTATGTTGCTTCAATAACTTGTATAAATGACAGGTTAAAAATACATAGCCATCAGAGTGGCAAGGAGATTGTAAAACAAATGAATAACGACAATATAGAAATATTAAATGGAGCAGTATTGTACTCACCCACGCATCCTTCTCACTAATGACAATGTTCCCACGAATCTCTCTTGCAAAAGAAATGCACACCCATAATTTTCTACCTACCTGTCGCAACCACAGCATATTAACCATCAAACGCTTGTAACCATCAGACAGAGAGATGAATGCCAAATGCGAATTGAAATCAACATGTGACATTCATTCATTGCTTCGTAGCCAGAGAAACCTTACAACCACTTACATAATCTTTGTGACTTTCGCCCTTGGAGGTATCGGGTGGAATTACAAATTCAGTTAGAGGAAGAAATGCACGCAGCCCCTGCATCCAAGGAATAAAATGAATTTTGAAGCAAATTACGCACATTGACGAAAAGTAGTGAATAAAAAAAAAAAAAAAAAACTTCAAAAGTGGAAGAAATTTCAAAGTCAGTATAGTTGCTTGTGTACGAAAGAAGTAGTGAAGAGCCCATTGCGCACCTCAACTCTCGCTATGACACCAGCTTTTCCATAGTCAACGATCTCAACTTCGATGGACTCATGCTCATCTTTGATCTGGTCACCCCAGCTAACCCCAGAAGTGAGACAGCAGAAGATCGGTTCGCAAAACAAATCATCACATTGCTACCATGATGAACAAATGGAACAAATGAAGAAGTGTGATCGGATGTCCTCACCTGCAGAACGCGGTCCCATGCGACGCGTTGAGCAGCTTTGCGCGCAGACAAGAGTGGCTTCCCAGTCATCGTCTTCCCCACCACCTCCATTTCAAGAACGGTACCAATATCAACACAATGCGGCGCAGGAGATTCGTAAGCATAGACTTCCTCATCATGTATAACGTAAGGAAGACCACGAGGTGGTGTACCGAGGCCTCCTCTTTCATTTCCTTCGCCTGCTTCATCTCCTTTCTTGGTATCGTCAGCAAGGATCCACTTATTCTGATCAATTGGGAGTTGATCAAGAGGAAGAAGATCTTGCATGTGCAGCTGTCCATACTGAGCGGCGCCAATGTCGACATCGACTTTAGCATGATTGCCGAATACTACAACCCCAACCACACGGTGTCCAACAACAGGGACGTAATACTCAAAAGAATCATCGACCAGTTTCGAAAATTCTACCCGGTCGGGTGATGTTTTAAGTAAAACAGAAAAACTGTGACAAGTGTTGCCGACAGTGGATTCATAATTGGGCTTCGAGACAGTTGTGCGGACGGAGGAAACGCCAATGCACCCTGTCTTACTCTGTTTATAAGGTTCTTTAAAGGAAGAGCTCTGTTCTTGAACCTGGTTGTTCGCGCAGCCAGTCGATTGGCCATCGCCTGCTACTGCGGTGTTTCCATTCACAGAAATATGCTCGTTGTTGCACTCCTCTGCGTCAATCGATTGCGGAACATGCTCACTGCTTGGGTCTGTGTCTTCACCACCAACCGAAACCAAATCTAACTCACAGCTTCGGACATCGTGAGGAGGATCCCGTGAATCTGTGTACTCAGCACACCACAGAGGGGATCGCGTGCTGCGCGATCTAACCCTCGTTTTACTTACTATAAGTTTCCCACAGGCGAACCTTCCAGACCCTTCGAGAAAGAGGCTTTTCCCACGAGCTTGTAACGTTCTAACACACTCACTCTCCCCGCGGAGACATAATGTCAGACCTTGCAACTGCTGACTACAAACTCGAGCAGACATTTGTGTTCTAATAATTGTAAATTTAAATTCAAATAACGAGGGATTGCTGCTCAAGGAAACCCACAACCACGACCCAATAGACTTCGCACATGTCTGTTGTCATCACAGCGATGGAAAACCTTGCCGGCTCGATCGCTTTACACCTCGACTGTTAAGTACACACATCCAGGAAAGAGGAAGACAAACTCTAAAGACCAGAAATCAAGGTGGACACAAAAACCTCAACGCTAATCACAGGATACGAACACATGAAATGCTCAATCTGCTTTCCAAAACTACAGACGAGATTCTACACAAAATAGTACAACTTCTTCTCTGAAGAAAACAAAACGCCACAACTATAAGCACAGACACGCCAAACATGAGTTTCCCACGGAAAACATGGTCAACACAGAGCTGTGCAAAACCTTCGAGGTGCTTCCTAATCAAGACTGGTTCAACATATTCAAAAGGTCTGTAAAATCACTACAGTACATTCGGCTTTTGTTCATGATCATGCACATCACTAATAAAAGACCGCCAAGACATGATAACTAACACAAATAAATCAGTATATGCGCAAATGCGTAGCAAGACAAGAATCAGATGCTGGACAAGGGTGTAGGGTTTTAGGTTTTAGGTCTTGAAAACGTCGATGGCTGTGCAAGGTGACCTCCGCTTAAATTTTATGTCTTAAAAATAGAATTCAACAACGATTGTTTTGAAAATATGATTCGGAGCAGGGTTCGGGAGGGAATTCTGGAGAAGATTTACTCATAAATTTTTAAAAAGTAAAAAATGTCCGGTTAGGTCCTAATGATTCAATTAAGTCTTATTAGTTTCGGCTCCTAGCTTGGCTGATTTTCACTAAATGCGGGTTCATCCACGTCATTGGTTGGGAGCCCAATTTGACTACATGATGGATGAACCTATCATCAGGTGATCAAATTCAAGCAGCGCTCAATTCATCTTATGAGTCTCCCAAGTGGAAACGGTTAACAAAAAATTTATTTCTAAATCTACTCAGATTCTAATATCCGTGAGCGCTCTGTAGGCAGATCTACGAGCTGGACTAGAGCTCGAGAAGAGGACGGAAATTTTTGAGCAAATTTGAGCAATCACCATCACTGCATCACCATTTTGAGTATCATCTCAAGAAGAAATTCTGAATCATTTTCGGGCATAGCAGCGCATCGCCGTTGCAGGTCAATCGACCATTTGAAAGAGGACCCTTGATATAAATGACCCTCTGATCACCAGAAACGGTGACTCAGAGCTTGACGAGGAAAATTCTCATTTACCTCCGTAGTGGACGTCACTAACATCAGTTGCTCCCCAAATTAGCCTTTTCACACTTCCTCCACTCTGTGAATTGTTTTTTCACTGTAGAAATTTGTGTGACCCCACAGCCTGCACATACTTCCAGCTCAATTCCTCACAAGTTATTATCGGCGCATGTTTGCGGTTGCGGAATTGACCTAGGTGGAGTTTCATTGTGAGGGTTCAAGGGTGATTAGGGTTTTAGGTTTCGAGGCGCTGAAGTGTGGAGAGGAGGGGGGAGATCAGTGGAGTGTCTTGCATTGAAAGTTTATTGTAAGAGTGTGATATTCCGAAGGAAAGCTACTGGCTTACGCATTGGCCTGTGGCACGTACACTATAGATTGCGTTGGGTAGGTGTGGTCAAGAGAAATTCATTGCAGTGTGCAATGAGTCAATTGTGGTCTTGTCCAACTAGGATCTCGCTGTTTCGATCCATTCGGCGCATTGCAGCCAGCCCGTCTTTGTCATTCAATGAGGTCCCAAGGGGGTTCAGGTTTTACGCTGCGGCAGCTAGCGAATCTGATGATGAAACCGAGGCCAGGAGCCCGCCCACGGAGAAGGTGCAAAGACTAGCCGAGGACATTTCAAAGCTGTCGTTGCTGGAGGTCTCGGATCTCACCACCTTGCTGCGAAGGAAATTAGGGTTGCCAGAGGGAATGGGCATGATGTCTATGGGAATGATGCCAGGAATGCAAATGGGGGGCGCAAGTGTCGCCCCTGCCGCAGTCGAAGAGGCCAAGGCAGAGAAAACCGCTTTCGATGTGAAGCTTGAGAAATTCGACGCTGGGTCCAAGATTAAGATCATCAAGGAGGTTCGCACATTCACAAACCTCGGTCTCAAGGAGGCCAAGGAGCTGGTGGAAAAGGCGCCAATCGTGTTGAAGTCGGGCGTAGGGAAAGAAGAGGCGGAGCAAATCGTGGAGAAGCTGAAATCCGTAGGCGCCACTGCTTTGATGGAATGAGCGTTGCTTCATTATTCTCCGAGTTTTTTTTTTTTTTTTTTTGTTTTTTTTTTTCTAACTGTGGCGCTTCCCTCGATTGTAAGCCCTACCGAGCCTTCATTTCGCAGTTCTGGATCTGCCTTCTCTCTGCCAGATATGATACAGTCAACTATCCCATGTTTTCCTTAGCTTCGTTCATCTACCTTTCTCTTCCTCCCTCTTCTCTGGTTGCTCTCTATCTTCCCTTCATGCTCGCATTGAGCATGACCCTCGACTTTAGACCCTCGACTCCTATTCTTTTCGTCAGATAGCTCTTCTTTTGCATTTCAAGGCGGAGTAGGGGACTCCCTACTTTCCATCGCTTCCCACCTTGATTAATCCCCATTTGAAATTCATGTTTTTTGCTCATGCTCACGTAAATCCCTCTCTTGAAACCTAGTTCCTTTCTTGGTTTCAATGCCGCAAAGATAGTGGCAGAGGTGAACTTCCATCCCATGGTCTTAGATTGAAGCGCGTGTGACATTGACAAAGCAAGACGAAGAGCCATTCAAGGGTGGTAGTTTACACTTAGGGTTCAGAACTAAAATGAGCGAATGAACCCCAGCTTGGTGCAACTGCTTGGAGTTCATCAGTATTGTAAGCAGAGTGTTGGTTTGCTTCCATGCCTGCCAATGATGAATACACAAATCCAAGCGTTAACACTTTTATAGATACTGGTGAATGAGTTCGTTGCAAACACAAGTTTCTTAACAGACACTCTTCTCGAGATACGAGAGTTTTGCATGTGTGGAAAAAAAGGTTATTTCCAGAGCTGTTGTGCTCCATTAGACCGGGAATGCATTCATCAGTTTGTGGTTTTTGAAGTTCAATTTGTTTCGTAAAGATATGTGGGTGAGTTGTCCACTTGAGTGAGAGTGAGAGCTGTAGTAGTCCCAAAGCAAACAAGGCATCATGTTTTAATGAGTCTGGAAATGAGGAAGTTTTGTACTTTCTAGGTTTGTGATTGTAAACCTTGAGGAAGTTTTCTTGCTCGAGTTGAAACAGTTTTTGTGCTACCGTGTTAAGTAGTCATGTTAGGATTAAAACATCATGCCTTGTTTGCTTTGTTTGGTAATTTAGGAGACTTAGTTATGATACTTTGAACTTGGCCTGGAGAGTGACAAACTAAGTGTGGAACATGGTTAATTAAGCTTAATGTTTAAAGCTCCAATTTTTTTCAATAGTGATCCATGCACTGAACACAATCTTTCTTAAAGTTTTAATTGTTTTGGAATCTATGATAAAAGAAACTGATGTCAAAACCTACTATTTCTTATTGTTTAAAAATATATATAATGTAACTATACACTCCACATCATATGAATGTATGATTGAATATTGCATTCTATGTTGTTCAAGTGGTTATTTCTTATACTTAATTCAAAATTGCATGCGGTAAATAAATTACAATTGTAAGCAAAATCTGCATTTTACTTCAATATATGAACATAATTTATGATATTACAGATAGTACAAGATATACAGTAATAATTCATTTTATTCTCGAAAAATATTATACCTACTCTTGCAACAGATAGAATAAAATCAAATCACAGAATTTTTATAATAAAAATAATAAAAAAAAATCTCTAAGATATTCTAACTAGCTTCTAAATATTTTAAAATTAATCTTTGTTTTTATACTCTCTTCATATATTTTATATTATTTCATTTTAAGATTTGTCTTTTCAAGTTCTAAACTTTTTTTTATGTTTATGATTTCTTTCTTTCTTTCTTTCTTTCTTTCTTTTTTCTTACAAGTTTTAGTGCTACTATTTTTTATTTACATATTTTTTGAGCACTCATTTATAAATTACAACATATTTCTAAACTCTTTTAATAAAGAATATTTTCTCTAACATAGTTTTGTGGAGAGAATCTTTGATATCATTTAGTAGATATACAGTGGTGCAAAAATTTGACATAGACCACAAATTTGTAATGTTTGAATAGTTATAAATTTATCTATATTATATTTTTGATAAATATTAAATGTGAATTATAACAAGAAGATAAATGGGTAGAAAGTTAATTTGGCATTAATGTGTATAACCAACAAAATTGAGATTGGTTTTTGAAATACATTGTCTTATGGCTCTAGCTTTAAAATTATTTAGCTCTTGTATTTGTCTTATTTGTTGAATGAATCTAATAAAATAATAATAAAAAAATTAACTAAAAAACTATACAATTTAAATGCATTTTTTAATATTTAAAATTGTTGCACAATTTTTACCATACAAGCATTAAAATATAATTTTGAAATACCAGAACAATATATATACACACAACATGCAAATAAATGAACATTTTTTCAAACAATAATGAAATCAATATATCATGCAAATAAAATCATAAAAAAATTCACATTTTTGCTGTTTTCTTTTTGACGCAAAAGCAGAGTTTTTTTTTTTGAAAATATTTTGTTATGTACTACTAATTAATCCCAAACATCACATCGTGTGAGTGTGATCCAACTTACATGTTGCTCACTAGATTTCCCATTGATATTTGATTCAGTAACATATAATAGGTGGCGGAATTATGTACACAGGATCTGGCTACCCAAGTCTGTTGGCTTCAACCACTTAACAGTTGTGAAGTGTAGCAAGTAAGAAGGAAACCCAGGAATACTGGATTAGCGTTAGACTCTTTTTAATTAGGCTGCACTACATACTTCATTCTGTGAGTCGGTGAGGATACTGCCACTGAGTGATTTTACATCCTCGACCTTGTCTATGGCGTCTGAAACCAGCTGTGAAGCCTCCGCTTCACTCTCAGGAGGTACTGTACTAGAAGTAATGGCGTCCAATTGTGACTTGAGAAACTGGGCCACAGTTGCAGTTTGTGTATCATCTGTTAAACATGGTAAGGGACAATTAGCTCATTCACAGCCCTGTGAAGGGTTCCTCGGGTTAAGCTTACCAATAGATGCTGCTTTGAGAAGGAATATGATGTTTTCAGAAAATGAGTCGAAAGTTAGGTGGCGTGGTGTTTTAGAGAAGCTCACCCAGTCTTGGCACAGTGTGACCAAAGCGATGCTCGATAGCGATATGATTCTCAAATGACTTGAGCACATCGAAGCCAGGAATTCTTAGCGGATCCCTTGCCCCTGCACATCTATCACAAAGAGTTATGTTGCTGATAGCTAAAAATGGTAAGCAAAGATTAAGACTTCAAAATTTGCATGGTGTTGTGAACTTCATGTCGAAATTGATTCATTGTTCTGAAACTTCCTGAAATCTTTACATTGTGCGGACTTAGCTGTAATTGGTGTTCGTTTCGGAATTTTGCAAAGTCCCAGTGATTAGCCGATGGATTCTGTACCTATTAGTGCCAAAGTAGGGCACTTAATCTTGGGGTCGTCGTAGACGTGTTTCAGGTGCTGCGCTCGGAGTTTAGCTGGTGCTATGAGGACTAGTACACGTAGAGGAGATACATCTTGAAGTCCAACTCCCTGCATCCATAGATCTGTATCAACATATCTATACATTCTCAAGCGGATTCTTATTCGCTATTAAAACCTAAGTGTCGTCAGAAACAATAGATGAGAATGAAAGGAGTTCAAAAAACTGACCTTTTCTTGAATTGCAGCGAGATACCCACCCAAACACGCCCCCTGATCAAACAGCGAAAACATTATAACACGATCTGTGAAGCAGAGTTAAATGAGAGTTAATAAATTTTTGTTGATCTGATTGAAAGATAAAGGACACGAAATCAAATTAAATTAAATTCAAAGCTTTCTCACCTGAGAGAACCCGAGGATTCCATCGTAAGGTCCGTGCAACTTCATATAATTGGAGATATAGGACAACAGATTCTCATCCACATAATAAAACTCCGTGTAGTCCTGGACGATCCGAGAAAATTGCAACTTTAGTGTAAGGCTATCTTCGGATAGGAGTGGACCTGGTCATATAGATTGCCAGCAAGCAGGATCCTCTTTGCAGCGTCGGTCAAAATATGAAAACGCATAAGCAGAGGTTCTATACGCTTCTAACCCCGAATGCTTTCACAGAGACTGGTTACTGGTAGTCAAGGACACTCAGTGCTGCATTGATAAGCAGCAATGGATATATGAGGTTCTCTCACACAAGATTAACATCTATTTGAAAGTTTGCCCGTTTCAACACTTGGAATTTAGAACCGTCCTGTAAACGATTTAGTACAAATTACATCCGTTAAATAGCAACTAGTGGAGGGGCTGATGTGCACCTTTTTGAACCTGTACCATTCGTAGTATGGACCCTCGAAGATGCCCTCTACATCTGATTTTCCTGAGCAAGGAAGTGGGCCATTGATGTAATCCTGTGCAACCGAGGCAAGTAAAATAGAGTTAGTGATTCTCCAAACATAAGACACTTAACCCCGTCCCTACCAACAACTTCCCAAACCGATCACGTCGAGGCAAACCATAGAAGACGGACAAAATGCAGGGTACAATGCAAAATAGTGCTCGTATGCCACTCGTTGTGTGGGCAGAGAGCATTTATCTACGTGCATAATGCGGAGAAAAATATACCACGTCGAAGAGCTCGTGCAAAGAGGGCGACCACTTCGTTAGTTGGCGTTTGAAGATGTCTGCACTTGTTCGAAAGCTATGCAGACCCAGAAGCTTCAGTTTCCTCTGTGGTGCCTGATCATTCTCTGTCTCAAGCCCCATCTTCAGTTCTTCCAGACTGATGAAAGAGCAGTTCAGTTGAGCCCCAGCTGTTCTCACCACAAATTCTGCATTCAAAGGTTGCTGCACAACACACAGAAATTTATTGTCGTGGTGGGGAAGGCTGGGGCATGAATACAGATCAAACTGGGAGCGAAATTGCATTCTTATAAGCTGCCAAATTCGAGAAGGAACTGACCTGACAGAATTGACCTCGCAGAAACTGTGGGCATGAAGACGGTTCTGCAGCTTCCAGGCTTCGAACGTGGATCACCATTGATCTCAATCGCAAGTGCACCTTCTTCGAGTTGTAAGGAATAAGCAAAGCGGGGATTGACAAGCACATGAACTAGTTAATATGTATGGAATGGCCTTTGGAGTGGCCATCCAGAATACCAGAACAAACACAATAGATTATTGTCTGACGAAAAAACAGGAAATCAGGAAAGAAGTCAAAATCAGATCAAAGCATCGACATAATTGTGAACAACAAAAAGCCATTGTCCGAGAGACGAGCAGCAATGGTGGTAAACGGATCTGTCTTCAAATTCTGGGACTGAGTTCCACGGTCAACAGAAGAGCACGGAGAAAGCAAATTCGACTACTACAAAAAGAGACTTTGTGCAAACAGTGCAGATGCTCTCTTGAAGGTTTGACCGAAAATCTACTACTCTGACCCACAAAGGTCATGACTTTGTTACAGCGGTTGACTGTTCGATTCCTGTGTCCATGATCGTGAATTTCTTCTTCCTTTTTCTCCTTGTGTATCTTATTTTTATTTGCAATTATTAGAGGTATCAAAGTAGGAGAGTGAACAAAATGAAGATTTAATAAAGAATTGAAAATATTTCCTGTCAGGAAAATAGTAAAAAAATGAAGCTTAATTTTTGGAGAATACTGATTTGGGGTATCAAAGGTGTTTCTAAAAATCATTCTCTCAATGTGAAGATATTCTTGAAAGTTGTCTTTTCTTAGTTGTAGTGAAAGTTAATTTGTATTAAAAGGTAACTAAGATGAGTGTATATTGTAAATATCATCTTTGTTTCATCAAAATGTTGCTTAATAGAATTGTGCAAGGTGATTTGGCTTTGCTCCTCTTCCTCCTAGCTTTTAATGTTTCTTTCTATGTCCTTTTTTGTAGTAATCATTTCATCTATCAATTGGCTACATTGTATTATTTTGCTCCTTTATGATCATCTAACCTTTTGGTTGACTGGTTGTATTTTTTTTACTCTTATAATTTCATATCACTTTAATTATTGGCATAACATTATTTCTTTAGAATGGAAAAGTAATGAAGAATGTGAAGATATTTATAGTGTTGGTTGCTTCAATGGAATTTATGTAATATTTTTTAATTTCTTCTATTTTACAATCCACTTTTTTTTTTTTTTTTTTGCTAACATACATTTTTTCTTATTATTTCATTTACAAAACAATAAAATAAATTGAAATAAAATCTAATCAGCCGTGCATTGGCTGTAATTTTAGAGTTCTTTAGTTGATTGGAGAATAGAAATTAAGAACAAATTAATAAGAGGATTTTTGAGAGTTTCTTTCATGTGATTTGAAGCCATATTGAGTTTTTAAGGCTTTTCAAATTGAAAAATGTACTTATTAATTTTGGATTTTGACAAATAAAATAAAGTTTGTAAATTTGAGGATTTTGTAAGTTTTGTAGTACATTAATTAGTAAAAATTTGTGAGGTTTTTATTGTGCTTGTTGTTAATAAGTTTGAGAAATTTGATATCAATTGGACAATTAGATTGAAGGATATGAGAGTTTTATTAGACTAGAATTTGAAATACTTGAAATGTAGGATTAGTGAGATTTTTTGCAATCTTGCAAAATCTACCAATTCAATTAAAGAAAAAATTGGTAAGGGCTATTTGAACTTAGAAATCTACATACCATCCAATTTTTAAAGCAATTGAATAGTTAAGCAACGAGAAATTGCTGCTGAAATTTCAACATTTAGGTTGGAGAAGGAAGGCAACTAACATCTAAGAGATTTAAGAGTTTTTTTTGTTCAATTGGTATTTTTGATTTTTTAAATTTTTTTTATGCATATTAATTTCTTATGGATTGAAATATGAGTGAAATTTTAGATAAAATCAATGGTTCAATTAATATTAATTAAGATTTTAAAATAGCTGTAGAAATTGGTTAAAATTTGCTTAAGATTTCGTTGGAGTTGCTTAGAATTTGTTTAGGATTTGATAAGAATTTGTTTAGGATTTGATAAGAATTTGGTTATGATATGGTTAGAATTAGTTTGAGATTTGATTAGAATTATTAAGATTTTATTACGATTTAATTAAGATTTTGGTTAGGATTTATTTAGGATTTTATTAGAATTTATTTAGGATTTTTATTTTTAATTTATGACTTCTTTCTATTTTTTTAGTAATTTCTTTTAAATTTCTTTTGGATTGGTTAAATTTTGCAAGTAGAGGTTCAATTAGAGATTCAAGTAGAGCTTTTAATAGAGTTTTGACTAAAAGACAAAGTACGTTTATAGATTCAACCATTGCAAGCATGTTTCAAGCTTTAACATTATCTATATAGCAACAACAAAGCCATGATTGCAAAGAAGCTTTGATAACAAAAACATTACAAGTAGTGATTAAGAAAATTGACTAATTTAATGGAAGAGATATTTTGAAGTATTTAAGATATTATGTATGGAAAATGAAATTAAGTCAAGTCTTTAAGAAGAAGATGATTGAGCTATTGGAGCTTGCCATGAAATTAGAGATAAAAAAACATGTTACATCAATTATGAAGTATTATGAAAGTTCATGGGAGACATTTTTATATGTATTAAAAGACAAATGTTTCTTAAAGCACACTAATTATGTTACTAAGAAATTATTTTTGGAATAGATTGAGTAGCCTAATAAGAATTTACAAGCAAAAAAGCTATTAAGGAAGTTTAAAAGATAATATTTTTTATTATTAAAAATAAAAAAGATAATATTAGAATCAAACAAGATTGAATTTTTTTTTAAGTTGTTGATGGAGAATTATAAGAGAAATTGGATTTGCTTCTTAAAGATAAAGAAGAAGATGAAAGATTGATAAGAAAAGAGAGAAATGTTGAAGATGTTGTAGATTTGCTTGCAAAAAGAAAAAAAAGAAGGATAGGATTAGTATTTTAAGAATAGTACAAACATCTAAAATTCAAGTGCTTATTATATGATTGACAATACCTATTATTTAACCTCCAAATTCTACATCAAGAAAAGAAGATATAAATGTTGAAGAAATTATATATGAAATATAAGATTTTCAAATCAAATAAGCAAGATTTAAAGAAAAAACTTCTATAAATAATTTGAAGGCTATATTTAATCAAGAATATATATAAAGATTTATTTGATGTGACCATAATTTTATACTAGGAAGGATTGCAATGAATTCAATGACATAGTGCAACAAAGAGTTATTTTTTGAAAATGTAGAAAAGTGGCATTGAAGCATACATGGGACCTTCTTCAAACCAACTTTCATAAAGAAGGTATGAAAGCATTGATTCAAGACTATTTGGTAGCACATGGAATAGCAACACAAGGAAGTATAAGTTATGGTGATAGAATGGATAATGAATTGAATAAAAGTATAGAAATAAGTTGATTTTAGACTTTTGCAATTTCTACGATGCAAAAAGATAAGATGCCTTCAAAAGTGTTGTTGAGAACTACTACTATAATACATTGTCATGTTGTAACATGACTATATGGTCAAAGATGATAATATGGATCTTATTATAGAAGAGCCAAGTTAAAAGATAAAGTAAAAAAATATGGATAAAAGATAGGAAGGTAGTAAAACTTTTAGTAGTAATGCTATCTTTTTAGAAAAATAACTTCTACTTAGTTTTTAGGACCATAAAGAAGGCAAAACAAAATATATTGGAAAAATAAATGATATAGGCATCTTTAGAAAGAAATCAAGAGTAAATTCTAGCAAAAATTACCTTGAAAAACTAGATATTGATATCCAAAGAGGGTTGATTGTGAACCAGGGTCAAAATTAGACCCCAAGGCACAAAACCAAGCCTCGACGACGATTTTGGAATTCTTTTGCAGATTGGAGAGTGAGATTTGAGAGCAGACTAAATAAGGTTTCTATGAGCATTGGGTTTATGTGATTTGGATTTTTAATGACTTTGTAAGGGCTTTACAAAGTCAAGTTTTTTTCGAATGACTTGGATTTTTGTGAAATAAAATAGAATTAATGTTTTAGGCAATTTTGAGAGTTTTATAATAGATCTAAAAGTAAAATTTTGTTGGTTAATGGTTATAATTGTGCTTAATATGTGTTGTAAATTTTAGCTTGATCTAACGATTGAATTGAGGATTATTGAGGTTTAAGTGAGTTAAGATCTCAGAAAGTAGAATTTTAGATCTAATGAGGGTTTTTAAGATTTCTTGTAATCTACTAGTTGGATTGGAGTGAAATTTATAGATGAGGATAGTAGACTTATTTTCTTATGTATATAAGAATTTTAAGATCAATCGAATGGTGAAAAGAAGAGATATTGGCTTTGGGAGATTAGCATCAAGGTCAGAGAAGGAGGCCAACTAATACTCGAGCACATTTTTGAGGTTATCGTCTATTTGGTAATTTTGATTCTTTTCAAATTTTTTGTACTTATTTTCAACTTAATTATTAAGAAGTTTGTAAATTTTGAATTAAGATCAATGGTTCTTTCATTAGTTATTGAGGTTTAAATCCATTATAATAATTACTAGGGTTTGATTTAAGATTTAAGATTTGGTTAGGATTTGATTTAGGATTAGGATTTGATTAGGATTTGATTTAGAGTTAGGATTTTATTAGAATTTTATATAGAATTAGGATTTGATTTAGGATTTAGGATTTGGTTAGGATTTAGTTTAGGATTTAGGATTTGGTTAGGATTTGATTTAGGATTTAGGATTTGGTTTAGGATTTAGGATTTTATTAGGGTTTGATTTAGGATTAGAATTTGGTTAGGAGTTGATTTAGAGTTTAAGATTTAGTTAGGATTTGATTTAGGATTTAGAGTTTTATTTGGGTTTGTTGAGGATTTACGATTTAGCTGATTTTTGGCCTAAAGTTTGAATGAAGTCCAATAAGATTTTAATTAGGATTATGAAGACTTCTCGTATTATGACAACATAGTACAATAAGTTGAAAAGTTCATATAGAGGCTCTTTTAGTTCATGTATATATTGCTAAGAGTAAACATAAAGCCTTGATAGAAGAAAAAAAATTGGTAATAGAAGAGAAAGAAATTCTTTTAAGAGGAAAATTTGAGGAAATAAGGCTTCTGAGGCAGTTTCACAAGAATTATCCACAAAGAATATTTCAATTATATTAGAAGAAAAAACAAAAGATACAAAAGATAAATGTAAATCAATAGCTTATAAATTATTCTCTAATATTGAAGCAACAACAAATTTAAAGGGATGCTAAAAGAACATATACTAAATATTAAGATAGAGTTTACATTGAAAGAGATTTTAGAAATTATAAAGAAAAAGTTTCATGATATTATTATTGATAACATTAAATAAAAGAT